GCACCCTCACCTGCGAGAGTTTTCATCAGAGCGGAGAGGGTGTCAGAGAGGTTGTCCAGTTTAATGCGCAGGCTGCTCTGGTCAGTTAACACGTCCAGCTGGTGCCTGAGAGAGGAGCTGTTTTCTTTCACCTCAGAGAAGCTGCTGGATAAGCTTGCCAGGTCATTCTGCAAAGTCCTGAGCTTTGCTTCCAGCTCCTCCTGGTCGCTCTGCAGTGAGGAGTAATTCAGAGCAGACCGGCTCAGGTGCTCTTCGGCTGAAGCCCTGAAATCTTGGGAGAAAGGTGAAGCACAGAGTGAACAGAGCAGATTGCAGAGTCCTTGAGCAGATAGCATGTTGAGTTCAGTAACAGATGTCATCATTTTTGCAATAAGAAATAAAAAGGCAGGAATATTGTCCCTGTCGAGTCTGATTAGGATTGAACGCTACTGGTTCCTCTTTTCTAGGGATTATTTACACGGAGGAGCAGCAGCAGGTTACTGAGCTGAAGCTACACTGTCAGTGTCTGGACTGTAGCTGCCTCTGTGCTCCCTGACTGGACAAGTGACTCTTATTAGGAGACTCTAGTAGGATCTTGTCCTGTGTGAATCTCTAGGCATTTGTTTGGCTTTGGCAGTTGGTTAAAGAAAGAATCATAATAAAGTCAGAACAGATCTCAATGGAGCAAAATTTAACTGGTGTATTTACTGCTACTGGGGAATCAGTGTTCAATGTGCTTCTAAAAGCTATATTAGATAGTCTAATCTAAGTGAATAACAGTACCTCAAGGAAAGCGCCAACACTGTTGTTAGACTGTATGCTCGTGCCACTAAACTGAGCAGTCTTGCAGTCCTTCAGGCTCTGCCTCACTCTTTCACAATGAGCTCACCTGTGAGGGTTCGAATGAGAGCGGAGTGGGTTTCCGAGATGTTGGTGAATTTAGTCTGCAGGCCGCTGTGCTTGTTTTTCAGACTTTCCAGCTCGTTCCACAGCAAAGAGCGATTTTCCCTCATGGAAGAATACAGCGATGTCACGCGGTCCAGCTCACCCTGCAGGTGCAGGAGCTCCACTGCCAGCCTCTGCTGCTCCTCCTGCAGCACTGAGTAATTCCAGGCCAGGC